CAAAAACGACTAGAAGGCATTTTTTTTCTAAACAATGACTACTCTTTTCAATCCAGAGATATTTGATCGCAATATCTCCATAATTATCGTCTCTTCGATTCACCCTGTGATAAGATCTGAACTGTTGATATAACCAGTTAGGTGATGATTCAATGAAGAAACATAAAGAATACTCTGACATCATCTCGATGGATGATGAGGTGTCGATTATAATACAAACAGAATGACAGACAAATACTCTCCAATGGCTGCAAGGAGATATACTGATGCTTGATATGAACATAATTTATATTTCGATTTTGGCGCAATGGAATGAGAACTTGAAATGACAATGAGAGTTGTTGTGTAAAGAGAATATTACCTCAAATCTGTTGCTATTATTTATATTTCCAGGAAAAGAGATATGGATCATAGAAAAGATTCCCAACTTCAATTATATTAATATTTGGTTGACCTAGAAATCTTCCTGTAGAAGTAACAACGATGAAACTTCGTATATCTGAGTATTTGAAGTGATCCTCCATTGAATGACTACTTCGCCGGTTATCTCGACTTCTCAGATTTTGATATAGGGTGAGTCGAGAAATCAAAAAATCAAAATTTGCCATCGAATAACTAACACCGTATATGAGATATCGCGTTCAAATCAAGTATGAGGGTATTTCAGCTATGAGTAGATGGATTAGGCTAGTCGCTGTTTGATAAAAAGTTGCCTATAATATGGTTTATTCTAAAATTTCTAAACCTTCAACAAACAAAAGTATAGCCCTTCTTCAGATCTGTCCACATTTTCGAATAGCTCGTTGTGCACTATATTATGGAATTTTTGTTTCTGAAAATTGGTCGAAGAGTTTCAAATTAGGAGGGTGTTGCGGATTGAAATCCCACATACTATAAATGCTCGGTATTTTTCACCTCAACAGCTTCTCATAACCTACAAAGCACAGATACGGCCTGTTTGAGAATATTGTTTCCCCATATGGGATTCAGCACTCGAATATTGCTCCTAGATTCTATCCTGAGAAAATCCACCCGCCTGGTGGGTGATACCACTCTCACTACCCAAGCAACCAGATAACAAATGGTCACTTCACTTTGACGTACCCAATTGGTGATTTTCAGTCAAAGACGTCACACACCCATTTCGTGTGTGCTTATCACATTATCATCATGGCGTTGAGGAATCGTTACTTGAATATTGATGATAATACACGAATACAGGAAAGTAACTCAATCAAGTATCTAGGAATTATAATCGAGAGACATTTCAGATGGGACCTGCAGATCAAGAGTTTAGCCAATAAACTGCGGGGTCTATTGACTAAATTCAGGATACTAGTTGATTATCTGGACAGTACACATCTGAAAATTATATACTTTGCGCTCGTTCAATCCCAACTATCCTGTGGTATTCTTTAGTGGGGAGCTGTGGCAGAATGTCACTCACAAAAACTGAGTGTAATACAGAAATGGATACTTAGAATCTTATTTGAGAAAAACATTTCATATTCAAGTGAAACACTTTTCAATGAAACGAAACTGTTCGATATTCGACAGCTGTTTTGTCAAAAGATAATATTGAATATTCATAAAGACAAAATCAGATTGACCCCTCCGTCACACGAATATGAAACAAGAAGAAAAAATAGGCATTTCATCAATACATTAAGCAATAAAACAATCGGACAACGCTCGGTAGAATACATGTCGCCAAAGCTCTGGAATAGACTCCCAGATGATATTAAGGACATTCGAAATTATAACGGATTCAAATGCAAACTGAAGAAATGGATGAATGCAACTGGAAGAAGAATGTTCAGTAAGCTCATTTGATAATATGCTTCATCACAACTATCAATTTGTCATACATCATCCAAACACACTTGATTTATTCAAAGGTTTTCGCCTACGATATTATATATAAACCTGATTTGTCTGAACCTATCTAGCATGTAATTGCTTAGGTAGATACCTGATTTTGTCTATATATTCCCGATATTGTCTATAGTTACTCGAATATGTCGATATACCCACTCGAATTTTCGTGCACGTCGTACTAAATTTTTTGTTATTTTTATACATTATTTTTGAAACCCATACTGTCAATTATTATTCATAACATAATATTACCAGTGTATTATTACACATTGTTTTGTTAGCAACAACTGAATCACGAACAAGTATTATTTTGCTTCTGTGATATACATGTTTATTCACTATTACTCATTACTTATTTATACCTACTTATTTTACTTTGTGAATAAACTCTATTATTATTATTATTATTATTATTATTATAATAGGTGAACTATGACGTCAGTTTCATGACGTTGCAGGAACGACGTGTCAACGTCATGTTTCTCTATAGTTTGGTATGTATGTGTATGATATATATACAGGGTGTCCTAACTCGATGGCGTACCTAACGTTTCTGGAGAACGAAACATTCTTTGAATTTGGTTTCTTCAATAATCAATTCTGTTTTATCGATCTAGAATATTTTCAGCGCTTTGGCGTTGCCACTTCTATCGAAAACTAGCAATATCTTTGTTAGTTCGAATGGAACATCCTGTATTTCATTGAATTTTTGGAATCTTCCTGAAGGGCGGATTTCGCCGATCTATCACACATTGGGGTCTAGCGGTAATGATTGCAAGAATAAAGGGTGTGAAAAATCTAGATATCTCAAATTTATCAATTGTTTGTGTCGAAACTATCAATTGGTGAAAACGGCATCCATTCTGATCACCTTGTATCTGTTCCAACTAAATATCAATTGATGTTGAATGATTAGTTGGGATAAGGGCATAAAAGCCGTTTGAACCAATAATGAATAGTTTCAACACCAAAAATCCCGAAAGTAGAAAAATCTCGATTTTATTCACCCTGTATACCTGTTATCATTCCTGATAGACCCCGAGTGTAATAGACTGATGAAATCAACTCTTCAGGAAGAATCTGATAACGCGATAATATACAGGCTGTTATGTTCGAAATAACAAAGTTGTTGCTACTTCTTTATAGAGGCGGCAACGCCGCAGCAATGAAGATATTTTCAGATTGATTGAACAGAGCTGATTACTCAAGGCTTCAAATTTTCAAAATATTTCTATGTTCCGTTCTTCAGAAACGTGTAATATGCCATCGAGTTTGAGACACCCTGTACTGGAGTTGGGAGGAAGAGAAGTTATCAGTATATCCAGGGTGTTCCTTGATAATATGCTGACATTCAAGGGGCCGATTCTTCGACAATGTTGAAAATATGCATAGATTATTTTTTGTCCACCCTGTATAGCTTTTCGTGATGACAAAATTCAGTCTGCTATGTGACTAAATCGGTATACAAATTTCAAAATATTACATGCTGTGGTTATCTAGTAATGGATGTCCTGAAAGGAGTACTCAGACATCAAAATTTGAAGTCTACACAGGGAGAAAAGGCGATTGCATATCTATGCACAACATTGTGTGAAAGATGTTCGTGAAGTATTATTTAACATTTGTTTAAATAATCACTACAGTCATCTCGTGAAATGAAACAAATGTTTGTGTATATCAATTTGTGAAATATAATAAAATGATCATTGAGTACAATCATCAATCATTCACCAACTCGCCAGAAATTAATAAATGAGAAGATTCTACAGTCTACGGAAGTACACATACTTTTGTATCGTTACGAAAGTGTACAAGAAATACACAAATTTGTGTAATTTTCAGTACATTGAATTGTGAACTTTTCCACAATTTTGTAATGCTAAGTTCACCCACTTACACAATTTGTGCACACATATCACACAAATTGGTGATATTTGTCGAACAAAATTTTGGATGATTTTATATATTTGGTGTCACGAAAGTACACGAATTTTGTTTGGTTTTTGAACAGAATTGTTTTGAAAATTTCAAAACTAAATTGTTTGGTTATACACAAAATCTCTCACACAAAATATTGCGCGAAATATACACAAATTGGTGCTGTCACCATTTTAGAAACAAACTGTGTAAAAAATCTACACAAATGTGTAAAAACCTCTAATTTCTCTTTGTGTAGTCTCGTTTTTTCGTTTTTTTCTCGAAAACGAAGCGTTCTATTGAGTATCAACATGAAGATCTTTTCTGTACATAATTTAAAAGCCTTCTATGACATCGTATGAAATTTGAAATTTTTTGTAGTTCTTCACTTTATAAACAAAATGATATTCCCGTAACGGTGAAATATAAATTTTTGTACATCAGTAATTGCACCTTGATGCATGAAAGACGTGTATCAACTTTCATGAAGATGTACACAATATTGTCCCAGATATCATCGAAAAACTGAATATTTCCAAAACTTCATCACCCGAGCATCCATATGACGTTTTCTTCTTAAAATGAGCCAAAGAATCAACCCCTCGAATATTAGCATGTCTTCAAGGAACGCCCTGTATACGAATTACAATAGGTTTACCTATTGAAAAGGTCCCTTTTATGACGTTGCAGTGACGTATCAATGATATCTACAAATTACGTCGGTGTGAAGTACCAATTTGGTGGGCTTCGTCATTCAGAAAATGTGTCAAAACTTCGCTGTTAAGATTATTCTTGGGTGACAAAGAGTGCATGAATATACGTTACTCAACAAAGGAAAGCTAAATTCGCCAACATCGAACAGAAATCGAACTGCGCAAGTTTGAATCATATGTCGTGCGTTTCAATTCAATTGAATTAATAAATACGAACGCTTATTTTAATGGACGCTGGGTCTCAGAGGACCCAGAGGAGGATAAAGAATGTTTTTGTTCCCACATACGATACATGATCACCTCTGACCTGGTTATTTTCGGATATCTCTCGGTAATAATCATTGTGAAACGTTAATTATGCCTATTTATCTCTCTTTCACTGTTTACTACAACGATGCCTATAATTAATATTCCATGGAACGATGTAGAAAATTATCTGGAAAGTTATCGCTGTTATTTAGATCTGCAAGAGTGCAATAACACAAAACGCAAACAGAAGAAAAAACATGAATAACTAACCAGGCACGAGAGGTTAACGTCAAGTGAATATAGTGTCGTCTAAGAGACATAAACCTCTGGAATTGAAAACAATAGCGGGATTTTTGTCAGTGCTCTATAGTTCATCCAGGCTCCGAACCACAAAAGCCACATAAGATGAACGACGTCAAGTGTGGGAAGGTGAGATAAAAATAGAATCGGCGGTACAATCAGTACAGACTGGCATCATGAAATTTGTCTGCTTTTTATTTTTCGTAGGTGAATTTTCACTTCAGACATAAATAGACCTGTTTCATAGATAATTCCATTCACATCATTGAAATATCATCACATGAGCGGCTCTTCCTGTAAACGAAGAAATATCAGCGACTTTTCTATTTGATTGTATAAGTGTGAAAGTTTTTTTTCATGTTCTGGTTCCCACGAGAAGGGATATCTTGTTATGTTCAGAGAACATCGTGAGAACCAAGGGAAATAAGGTGGGAATTGGTGTTCTTCTGTAATGAAGTGTTTTTGACATGCTCCATTACTAGACTGGTTTCGATTAAAATCTAAGTACCTGAGCCTGATACTAGTTGAATTTCATCTGTTCGAAAGCTCGAAACCTGAAATCCTGAGAGAGCTGAGTAATGCATTGATTCCTGACTTCCCACAGCTTTTCCAGATAGTAAACTCTGATGAACATCATTACAACCCTGAAGACTTCAATATTCTTCAACCCTTTGCTTATGACATGAAATTTGATTGAATTATTTATCAGTTGAAATGATGAATGTTTGACTGCTCATAACTCTGTTGTTATTGAATATTTTTCAGCCAAATTCATTGAGTAGCATAAGCAAAGGTAGTAGATCCTGTTCCTGTGCCCATTTAGGGTTGAATATTATTTTTTCCGCGTTTTGTGTTGGAGGTGCACATGTGCTTTTCAAGGACAGATTTAGTGGCCATGGCCATGAGCCATGACAAGGTGGGAATTTTGACCAATGAGATTCCAGATTTACTTGTCCTTGTGTCAAGGCCGAAGTAGTGCATAAATACTGAAGACAGCCAAGAATTCGGATCTCTCTAAGCTCTTCTCTACAAGTCTACACTACCTGATCTACGTTGCTCTTCAAACTCCTGATTCTCTTGCTGATTTCTTAGTGTTCTCATATTTCATTCAAAACCAGTGTGAAGTATTATTGTATAGTGATTTCCTGTTACACATGTAAGTTTGTATATTTTTCACCATTGTTATTCATCCTGTTCATAGATTCATTTCATTCCTGTTGTTTTGCATACCGATATTCACCCGACCTGTGTAAAGAATCCAGAACTTTGAATTTGCGAATAAACGGATTTCGTGATTGCATGTTTCATATTTCTTTCTCTGTTGTCATTGTTTTCAGTTCCGAATAGTTCCAATAATTTATTTACTGATCTTCAATATTTTCATTTATCAAAATTGCAGATTATTATTATTGAAAAAGAGAAATAAATAGGCATTGAATCTGTTTAATTCGTTTGGAACTGTGTTTCCGATCCTCCAGGTAAAAATGATGAAATAGTTTAAATAAATAATTTTCCCCACCTAACTTCAAAATACCAGGAAATCCCGAAAGATATTTGTTTTGATTCTTGTAATTATCCAGACTAGAAATAGCAACCAGTATTCCAGGCTCAACCCAGGGTTTGTAATTGAAGCCTACACTCCCTTGGCTACTCATTGATTCCAGGTAGATTCAATACCATTGGTTTATACTGTAGGTACCGAGGTAGGTATACCTCCTCTACCTTTCTCCACTGTTGCTACTTTGGGCCTCTGTACAAAAAATATTTTGTGCAGAGCAGGTAGAGTAAACTACCTCAAAAACAATCTGAAAATTCCCCCCCTGTCAAATACCAGAGTAGTCTTCTGTCCTGAACAAAGTGTCACAGTGAGGGCCCCGAATAAAGACCCTCACACTTCCTGAATTTCTGGAGGTTATATGCCTCGGAAAAACCTTCCTCAACAATGTGTCTCAGAGCCTCGCTGTTCGTTGGATGAACGAGTCTTTGGAAAGAGATGTTCTGCAGGTCTCCAAAGTGACCACGAAGGTGTGCGAAGCCTCAACTCGACGTTTTAATCTCGCGGGGACTGCCAAGGAAGGAACAATTGTTGATATTCCAGAAGAGCATCGTCCATGGAAATATCTTTGAAATAGAGCCAGATCGCCAGCTTTTCTACGATGTCCCAGAGAAGTGAGTGAGTTTGTGAGCGAGGCATCACCCACGAGACGAATTGCCCTTTTTTCGACAGAATCTAACATTTTCAGGGTATGTTTGGGTGCTGCACTTCAAATATGGAAACACTATTCCAGGACAGTTCGAAACTGTGCCTTATAGATCATAAGCAGCTTACTGGAAGTGAAATAGCTCTTGGCTTGACACAGATAACCAAGTTCTTGGGATGCACTTTTAGCAATTGCTCTCACGTGATTTTCCCAAGAAAGCTGATTGCTCATAGTAATCCCAAGCATCGAAATGGATGTCTCTAAAGGTATGGTTTTTCCTGAGAAGCTTATGTTGGGCACAGTGAGATCGGCTTTTCTAGAGAAAAGGCATGCTTGTGTTTTGTTTGCATTGAAATCTACCAAGTTATTGGATTCCCATTCGAGAATTGTTGCCAAGTCCATATTTATGTTGTCAACATTTCTCCCTCGTTCGTTTCTGATTTGCCTGGCTGGAATTGGAGCCCTGGAAGAGATGGCGGTATGGAGGGAACAATCATCCGCGAAGCTGTGTACTGGACATGAAGTTGCTCCCAACAAATCGTTGATATGGAGTAGAAATAGTGTTGGTGCTAGAATTCATCCTTACGGAACACCAGCATTTATGGTAAGAGAGTCAGATAAAACTCCGTTGACCACTACATGGAGAGACCTGTTTGAGAGAAAACTAACTAGCAGAAAACATAGCTGGGGAGGCAAGCCATTAAATGGAAGCTTGGCGAGGAGTCTGTGGTGTCAGACTCGATCAAATGCCTTGGAGATATCAAGTGCCACGGCTGAGGTTTTACCATATTTTTCAATAGATTGCTGCCATATATGTGAGACGTGAGCGAGCAGGTCACCAGTTGATCTCTGATGATGGATATAGCATATCGTCCATTTTTGCCAATTTGTAAGAGTAGTTGAACAACTTGCAGAGAACAGGTGTTAGCTCGGGAGCACATTTCTCGAGAACAATCGGTGAAATTCCGTCGGAGCCATTAGCTTTGTTGGTATTGAGACCCAATGAAATCTTCCTTATAGTACGTTGGTGAAAGATGATCTCGGGCATATGACTGTCAATTGGCGTTGTGTCCGGAGGTCTTTCTCCCGATGAATCCAGAGTGGAATTTTCAGCAAATAAATACACAAAAATGTTGGCTTACTCCTGGGCAGTTGTGGCTAGTGTTCCATCTTCCTTGGTTAGAGGAGGAAACGAGCTGGAAGTTTCTTTCTACAGCTTTGGTGGAGGACCAAAATAAACGGGATCCATCAGGACATTCAAGAAGTTTCGATCTTATTTCGGCATTATGAGCATCCTTTGATGATCGAATTGTCTCATGGCATATACCTCTAGCCTCGACATATTCTGCTCTAGTCTCAGGGCCTGGATTTTTTTGTCACCGATGGAAAGCTGCCTGTTTAGAAGGGACAGCTCTAGAGCAGTTCCTACTGAACCAGGCCTTATCGGAAGATGTTCTCCTTGCAGTGTTCGGTATGTAGGTTTGCATCCCCAACATGATGATTTCAGAAATCACTAGCACAAGAACAGCCATCAACAGTGTATATATATATTGTATCCAAGAAAAAATTTCACTTTTTTCCCGTGAGCTAAAATCTATAATTTTTTCCGTGTACACTACACTATTTTCCTCGGTGACAGGAAAAATAACTCATCAAAATTGAGAAGATATTACATTATATTGGAATCAAAAAATCATCGAAATGAAATTTGAAGTGAACAAGAATTACACCTGCGTTGCCGGTATCTTCAACATTTCTTTGAAGTCTTCAGATATCTATCAGTGTAATAATGTGATTCGATCTTGGAAGATTGCGAACCTAATGGTTGTTCGGTAACTAACGTACAACCACGAAATGGAATGGAAGATAAAAAGACTTTCAGTTCTTTCTCAGAGACGGTGTTATTGGCCTATATTTCGGAACTAGCAAAACAAAAGCCATCACCAGTGCACATTTATATCCAGGAAAAAAGTTATTCATGAAAATTCAAAATTTTTTAATCTGTCAACAGAGATTGTCTAACTTCTCTCCCGTCACAGTCAAAATGAATTAATTCAGAAGATACTTTACGAAAGCAATGTATATTATGTTTATTGAACAAATATTCACCTGAGTTTTGTATTGTTTCATTTTCTTCATATAATGTTTCATGAACATTGAGTTATTATTAGAACGCTAAATTAGGCAATCCACCTCTGGTTAGAATCAATATGGCGCCTGGTTGGCACCATATATAAAATCGATAGAATGATGTTACTAAAACAATAATTGGATACTAACTGTTTGTGATTTTCTTCTATTATTTGACTTGTTCTTCTGATACCAACAGGAATTCGCGTATAATAGTGAATTGTTTTATTAGGATCAAATGACACAGTTCGTTTGACAAGTAATATTTGCGTTTGTGAGGCAGAGCGACCGCGAAGCCGAGCACGCAAATTTTGCGAGTAAAACATAGTCACTTTTGATCCGAATGAAACATGCTATTTTTTCTGCAATCGGAAAAATGGATACCTGATAAATAAAATATGAGTGAAAATTTCACAACAGTGATTTTTATACAGTTAAATTGTGTTTTTATGACAAATTACCATACCCACACTGAAAAAAAAAAGATGGTAGTTATTACCAAACGTTTAGTAAAATAGGCGCCAGTCACAACTTCCATCAAATGATACCAGTACAACATTATATAATTCTATACTATATCAAATATTACCACTACAAAATGGAGTATGATACTCATAGTTTAGTATAGTACAACTTTGTAGTGGTATTATTTGATGAATGTAGTGACTGGCAACTATTCTACTGAACGTTTGGTATTCACTACCGACTATTTCTTTGAGTGCACCAGCGAATGAAATCGAAAATTTTGTCATGACGTTTCAATGACAAAATAATATTCTGACGTCCTAAAATGGCGAT